ACATGTTCAAAATGAGATACGGCGGCGGACGCTAAATATATCGGGTGGGCGGCGGGGAGAAAAGTAATCCAACCAGACCAAGAGGTGACCACAGAGGCCTCAGCGGGGGGGGGCGGGGGATCTTGTGCAGTGATTTTCTTTCCAGATCCCAGGCTTCGCAGGTGAGGCCTCTGTTGTCACCTCTTGGTCTGTTTGGCTTATTTTGTCCTCGCCTCCCACCCATTTATTTGTCGTCTCCGCCGCATTTCCACTTGTATCAGGATTTGGCAGGAGCCAAGTTTCCACTGGAAACGGTGGCCGCTGTGATGCGCGATCACCACCCGGAAGGCCGGGAGTAGAGAGAAGCTCTACTGCCCACTCCCCAGTGACGCCCCCACGGTTCCCATGGAAGTCCAGGGTTCCAGGGTTCTGCTCCGCTGTTGGGTTTGCTACACGCACTGTGTCATGACAATCCCAGCACCCCGGCCGCGAGCTTCCCGCTTCCGCGTAGGAAGCTTCACAGCACCCTTCTCGTGACGACAGTGAACATTCTGGCTTTCTTTGCAGGAGCAGTTTGCTAACCAAAAAGCAGGATCAAGCTGCTCGGAAAATAATGCGGTTTCTACGACGCTGTCGCCACAGGTAGGTACATGCATCCGCATCTGTGCGTTTGACTCGTCACGTCACGGCTCACAGAACAGCCTGATCGCTGAGCCGCTCATTCACCCCCATGGACAGCCAGCCCCCCTCCTGCAGAGAGTCAGGGCCAACCTCCCGGTGACAGCGGGACATAGAACTCCGAACTAGGGACTGAGCTGCTGCCGCTGGGAGCTGGGCGCCGTGCCGAGCGGAGCTCCGTGCCGGCGTTGCTGGTTTTCTTCGGTGTGAGGACAGCTTAGCTGGATGAGCTCTAATTCCACGTTTCCCTCTGAGCTGTGGTTTCCCTGCCCCATCGCAGTCTGCTCTTCACCGTGAGCCTCACTGGGCTGTTGTGCATCCAAAACACAAAGAAACGCATTCTCTTCTCCAGGGAAGGAGAGAAGTGGACTGTCTGGGGGTGGCTGGCGCCCTCTGCTGGACGCGTGGCAGACAGCAGGCTCTGGAATCCCCCAGGAAAACGAGGCTGAGGAGGGACCAGAGAGATTCTAGGGAAGCGGGGGAGGGGGGGGGGGGGCCTGAGGTTAGAGGCCCGCGTTCAGTAGCAGACAGTGGGCTCCCCAGACCCCGCCCCTTCCCGGGGAGCCAGGCCGGTGGGCTTTCTCCGTGTTTCCCCCCAGAGCTGGACTTTTCTTGGTGAAGATCAGGCTCTGTCCTTGGATTCGGGGGCGGGGGGCTGGTGCAGAGTTAGTTTCCTTCACTCAGGCCGCCCCAGGCCGCCGGCTGTGACAGTGGCCTCCGGCCGCGTCCAGGCCGCTGTCCCTGTGGTCCTGGCGTTTCTGGGAGCCGTGCTGTTCGATTATGGCCCTGCCTGTCCAGTCGCCCCGAAAGCCCATGTCAGGTCCAGTCCGATTCCTAGAGGTTTCGTTTCACTTTCGCTTTTCTTACTCCTCAAGCCATCTGCTCGCGAACTTGGAAAGCATTTGGACTTTGAGTCCTCACAGGGGCTCACTGGCTGCCTGTACTTTTACTTAAACGAACAAAAGAATTCGTTTCCATGGCGACAGAAGGGACCAGGGCCGGAGCCACACGTTAGCAATAATAAAATCTTTAAAACAGTGGTTCTCAACCTTCCTAATGCCACGACACTTCAATACAGTTCCTCATGTTGTGGTGACCCCCAATTTCATTGTTACAAATTGAACATAATTAAAGCATAGTGATTCATCACAAAAACAATATGTAATTATATATGTGTTTTCCGATGGTCTTAGGCGACCCCTGTGAAAGGGTCGTTCGACCCCCAAAGGGGTTGCGACCCACAGATTGAGAACCGCTGCTTTAAAAAGTGCCTCCTTTTAGATATGGTGAGTGTCCGGAGCCAGAATGCTCTGCCAGGAGCTCTCATACACTCAGCTGCCCGCTCGCTCTCCACCGGGATTAGCTGGCGGGTAGACGCCAGGAGATGCCCCATTGATGCGGACACAGGTCTCGCTAGGAAAGGCAGGTCCCTGTGGGCTGTGCTCTGACGTAACAAGGTCAGTCCCACCAGCCTCACCCACACCAGCTTCTGTGTCACTCCGTCCTGCGTGGAGTCCTCGCATCCGAAGAGAGGAGTTTATTTCCTTCCTCCAGGAGGGTGTCCAGGACCCCCTTCCCTCCCCCCCCCCCCCCGCCCTTTCCACGCGTTCACGGAGGGCAGCACCCTCCTTCCCGCGAAGGCCCCGGGGGTCCATCCTCCTCCAGGGGGGGGGGGGGGGGGAGGTGCGGTACCTGCTTCCAGACAGTTGGTGTCAAGGAAATTGCCGTTACAGTCCCTTCCTGAGGCCACTTCCAGCAAACCCAATGTCCACCAGTTCATCTTTCCCGTTCCTTTAGCCTTCGCCTCGGCTCTGACCACGAGGTAGGCGATGCAGCCCCGGTGAGGTGACTATGAGCTTTTTCTTCTGTGGCCACAGCCCAGTGCTGTTCCATCGGGCGCGGGCGAAAGGCCACCTCCAGAGCGGGCTGAGCTGAGCCACCTCTGCTCCTGTGTTTAGAGTCCTCTTTCGTGAACTGGCAGAGGAGAAGGCCACGGAGGTTTTGCCCGTCACAGGTTCCTCTTTTAACTGGCAGAGACCTGGGCAGGCCACAGGAAGGTGTGTGAGGAAGAGAAGGTCAGGCTATGAACTCCGGGTCTGCCCGTGATTCGGGGTGAGAGGCCCTGTCGGCCCGTTCGGTTCCGTGCCCGCCCCTGGTTCGGGTTTTAGACGCGGGCAGGGAGACTGCAGTGACCTTTGGACTCTGGACGCGGCTGAGATGGCACTCACTCCGCTCCTTGTCGATGCGGGAGCCCAGGGGACCCCGAGCGCCTCCCCTGGGAGGTGGCGCTCATGCCTCCCTCGGACGGACGGACGGACGGACGGATGGACGGGTGAGGCTCTGCTTCCATCAGGCTCATGAGCCGCATCCTCAGAGGCACTCCGTGTGGCTTGTCACTTGAAGGCATCAAAACAGGAGGCCTCCCGGGACCCCTCTTAGGCAGGTGGGCAGGCAGTGGCTTCAGGAGTCCCATCGCTTAAGGACTTGCTGTCACATGACCCCAACGTTTCTAGACTTAAACATAACTTGGTGCACTGGCTGGTGTGCTCAGTGGTCAGAGCATCTGCCTGCGGACTGGAGGGCCACGGTCTTGATTCCCAGTCAAGGGCACGTACCTCGGTTGCAGGTTCCCCAGCCCTGGTAGGGGCTCCTGCGGGAGGCAACCGATCGGCGTGATCTGTCACGTCGATGTTTCTCCCTCTCTCCTCTCTGTCTCCCCCTCTCCTCCCTCCCTTCCACTCTCTCTCTCTAGAAATCAATGGGGGGAAAATACCCTCAGGTGAGGATTAAACAAAAATAATAACAATAGGGAATAAAAAATAATACATTGGTAGATTCCCTACCTGCTGATCTCACGTACCAGACCACCACGCTCCCTTCCCATCCAAGGGACCATTTTAAACTCTGCTTGTGTTGAAGTAAAGCTATTTGTGAGCCTCTGTCTCGAGCCTCCGTGCTAATAGCTGTCTGGTGTTGTTTTACTGTCTGAAGCCCCCTGGCGGACCATAGGCTGTACAAAAGGGTGAGTGAGCTGCCTGCAGGCCCGTTCACCTTGCCTCCATTTTCAGTCTTTGCTTTCTGCTTGCTTGCATGGGGCTGCGCCGAGGTATGCAGTAAGTTTCACATCCATTGAATGAAATGAGCCCCGAGTGAAACTAACCCTGACTACTAACACTGCTCCTTCGTAGGAGAACAGTCACCCGGGTAGGTGTGCCGATGCCCGATGCATGAGCAAGCGAAGGGGGGGCGCGGAGGCCGCACCGGGCATGCGGAGGAGGGGGAGACGCCTCCGGTGCACACGGGCGGCTGGGGGCACACGTGGGACTCTCAGGCTGAAACAGGGAGCGAGCGGGTACTTGGGAGCGAGGTCATTTGCCTCGCGAACGTCTCTCATCTGCTGGTCCAAATGTCTAAAGCAAGAAGGCTCCCTGGGTGGTACCAGCTTTGTGATCTTTAACGAATCTCTGTCTTGTGTAGAACGACCGTTTCCCCAGGCCCCTGTCCCTCCCGTGTTATTTTCTGATCTCCCTCCCCTGACGCTGTGAGGTCAGCCAGTACCCAGAGCCGCCCTTTCAGCATCGGCCCCGACGTTCGCTGTAACAGCTCGAGCGAAGCTGACCTCCAGTGTTTCAGGGCAAAGCCAGCTGGGGATGCGGTGCGAGGGCTCGCACCTCCGTGTGTCCTGCTGCAGCTCAGAGGCGATGCTCCCATCATTGGCGTTTTAAAGACATGATGGCGCAGGGGCCTCGGTCGGCCTCAGAGCAGGATGCTCAAGCGGGGTGAGAGTCCCTGCCGGTGGGACCGGGACATGTCTTAAGTGGTAATCAAGGATTTCATGCCAGAAAACTGGTTTAAAACCCGGCAATCTAAGCCACCAAACACAGGCTTCCGTGTAGATTAATTTGTCCACGTTTGTCTTGTACGTACGTCGTGCTGAGAGAAGACGCCCCGGAAATATGACGTGGGAATCTCTCTCGACTGCCCATGGCACCCCTCCTCCTCCACTCTACACCAACACGTCACATAGTCACCTGCGAGATTCCCGAGGAAAGAGCAGCCTTCAAAACGCCTGAAGCTTCCGGAGGTGATACTCCCCACTGACTGCATCTGTGTCGACGCTGATGTCAATTCATTCTAGCAGAAGCCAAGGGTCGGCGGGCTTTTCCTTCAAAAGTCAGGCCGTCTCCATGGCAACCACTGGGTTCTGCCATGGCAGCTGGAACACAGCTGTGGAGAGTCCCTGGGCGGAGTGGGTGGCCCTTCTCACGAGACGGCCCTTACAGAGACGCTCGGGCCGAGCCGGCCCAGGGGCCCTCGTTTGCCGACCTGCAGTACCAGGAGAATTGAGTTTTTATAAGCTCTTCGAAACCAGGCCTCATTTCTATAAAAGACTTAAAGTCTCGCCTATGTAAACCCATGGGTCGTCACATCGAAGGGGCCACTTGTGTAAAAGATCATAAGGAAGCAGCTACGCGCTTTTGTAAGTGGAACTAGTCCGTCCTCGCCAGGGTTAGGCGCGCGGAATAGTCGGGGTCCCGGGCGGCAGAGCCGGCTCGGAGGGGCCTGTGTTTGGGGTTCAGGAGGAGAAGGGGACAGAAGTCTCTTTGCTCTCTTCCCAGTCCCTCTCGCCCTCCGCACACAGAGATGATGCTTCGTCCATTTAGAAGCTTTTCCGAAGGGAACACTGCGTGCCCTCGGATTCCGCTGAACTGACAGCCGCTCTGTCTGGCCTGTGATACCAGCTTCACACTCGTCTGCTTCGAGGAGCCGGCATTTAGTCGAAGCGGCTGCTTGTGTGCCGTGAGGCTTGTTAGCTCCTGGCGTGTGAGGGACCGTGTTTAAGACCTCGTTTCTCAAGGATGCTCTTCAGTGCCAGCCAGTGTGCGCCTTAATTTCCCAGGTGCCCCCTGCATCCGTCCTGAGCTCCCAGAAGTCCCCTCAGGAAGTTGGGATTCATAGCCTCC